AACGTTGAGTTGGTATTTGGAGGTGGAGGGGGGTGGGAGGAATGGGGAACGTTGCAGCTGTGATCCAGTTGTGTCTGGTGATGGTGAACCGCAAGAGAGGAAGCAGGTGGCAAAGAGGGGGAGAAAAAATTCTGATTGTTTTGCAACTGGACTTTGGCTGTTTTTCAGCCCGCCCGTTTTTGGAGTCTCACGCCAACACTTAATGGTCATTTGATACTCTTGGGATAATCGGAGACATTGGATCGCCAGGAAAGAACAGCAAATAGTTCCCAAATGTTGTTATTTTCAGACTTTAGAAAGTTTGCATGAGTTCAATCCTCCAGTCTTAACTAGTAGGGCTGCTGTCTAGTGCAGAGGTCTTCAAACTTGGCAGCTTTAAGACTTGTGGACTTCAATTCCTAGAATTCTCCAGCCAACGTAAGTTGAAGTCCACAAGTCTTAAAGCTGCCAAGTTTGAAGACCTCTGGTCTAGTGTCTTGGGCGATGGGCTTTGGTTGGGGCAGGTTTTTGCTTGCTGGTTTTCAGAACCAAGTCTTTGAAATCAAGGTGAACCCCTCAATGCAAATCATGGAGCTTCAACCAAAACCTGCAAGCCAGCCAGCGATCTCCAGCTCTGATGTCTGCCAAATATAATCAGGTCTCAGGTTTGGAAAGCCTAACTTCAAGAGATGCTCAACAGGGCAGGAACCTCAATTTCTTGAACAATTGAAGGGGCTAAGCACAGGTTCACTGGAAGAGGGTTGCAGAATTAGAGAGCAGCCGCACCAGAGGGGTCTAACAGCAACTCTCCATGGCCAACTTGCCACAGCCAACTTGTTATGGCCAACTCGTCATGGCCAACCAGCACAGCCAACTCATCATGGCCAACTCGCCATGGCCAACTCACTGTAACCAACATGCCACAGGCAACTCGTCACGGCCAACTCACCACAAGCAACTCATCATGGCCAACTTGTCACGGCCAACTCATCATGGCCAACATGCCACAGCCAACTCATCATGGCAACTCGCCATGGCCAACATGCCACAGCCAACATGCCACAGCCAACTCATCACGACCAACTCTCCATGGTCAACTCACCACGGCCAATTCGTCATGGCCAACTCACCATGGCCAACTCATCATAGCCAACTCATCATGGCCAACTCGTCATGGCCAACTCTCTATGGTCAACTCACCACAGCCAACATGCCACAGCCAACTCATCACGACCAACTCTCCATGGCCAACTCACCACAGCCAATTCGTCATGGCCAACTCACCATGGCCAACTCACCATGGCCAACTCGTCATGGCCAACTCTCTATGGCCAACTCACCACGGCCAATTCGTCATGGCCAACTCATCATGGCCAACTCGTCATGGCCAACTCTCTATGGTCAACTCACCACGGCCAATTTGTCATGGCCAACTCACCATGGCCAACTCGTCATGGCCAACTCTCTATGGCCAACTCACCATGGCCAACACATCATGGCCAATTTGCCACAACACAACCTGCTGCAGGACAAGAGTTACACCAATATCGAAGAAATAGTGGCATCGAATCATTAAAGAAAAGGATGCCAAAGGAGGGACCAAATTAAATGTGAATGACAAAAATTAAAAAAATATTTAAACAACAGCTGGTCTTCGACTTACAACAGTTCATTGAGTGACCTTTCAAAGTTAAAAACAATGGCACTGAAAAAAGTGAGTTATGACTTTGGGGATTTGGGGAGCAATTGCGGAATCAATTGTGGTCACAAGTCGAGGACTACCTGCATTTTAAATAATGAAATTGAATTGTTGAATTATCTCGGGGTTAGTGTCCCATGATGAGTTGGCTGTGGTGAGTTGAATATGGTGAGTTGGCTATAGTGAGTTGATCGTGGTGAACCATGCCATTCCACACCAGAAACCATCAGGTGCAAGACTCGGTGCATTTTCAGAGACGGTGCCACGCTCTCTCTGCCACACCGGGCGCGTGGGACAGGACGGATGCTAGCAACATCTGTCTTCTGCCGTGCCAATATTCCCTCTCCTTGTCAACAGAAAAATCTGGACTGGGGATTGGGGACTCACTTCGGTTCTTTCCCCCATCCCTCCGAGCCCTGGGGTGTTTTGCAATATTTTAGACGCTTTTGATTCTGACATCCCTATTAAATATTTCGCGGTCCCCAATTGCTCGCCTTGATTAATTGAGAAGACTTGACAGATCAACACCCAGTAGTTAATTAAGTTTTACAGTTCTCCTGTCTTCTTCTCGCCCGCCCCCCTCCTCTCCTTTCCCCGCTGGTGACAAGCCATTCTTCTGGACACTACAACGAATGGCAAGTTTTACACAACTGGGATCCCCTCCCGCTCTTCTTGATCATCTGGCTTTGCCGGAGTTTCACCCAACGAGGACATTTGGTGGCCTTAAGACATCCTGCCAAGTTTTAGACCTTGGTGTTCTCCACACTGCCGTCCCCATCGCCATCATTTCGCCGAATCGACTTAATTAGGAACATGTCGGCGGTGGCGTTTGGAAGGCGCCTGACGTATCTCTCGTCAGCCGCTTGCTCCGAGCAGCCTGAAGTTTTGGTGCCGCGAAACAAACAAACGGCTTACCGCGCTCTCGGCTCCCATTGATCTGGCAGGGCTGAGACGATGCCGTACATGGAAAGGCGCCATCGAAAGCCGATCATTAAAATCTGGGGGAGAAGAAGGGACAGGCGAATGTAAACCGAGAGAAAGGAATAGAAATCCCGCGTGGCTCTTGGCAGAAGGGAGCTGTCGGATTCCTTTTCTCAAAGCGGTTTTTTTTTAAATTTCTTCTCCAGGCCCGTAGTTAGCTGTTTTCCTTTTTCCAGAACTCCTGTGGATAATGGGTGCAAAGTATTTTACCAAGGTTGAGATCTTACTGTGGACTTGCAGGTCGTGAGGAAGTTAAACAGCAAAGGGAGCGTTGTTTCCCGATGTGTGTGAAGCCTCCACAAGGCTTTCTTCTGCATTGGTCGGTTTCTAACTCCCTTCCTTCCTTCCTTCCTTCCTTCCTTCCTTCCTTCCTTCCTTCCTTCCTTCCTTCCTCCCTCCCTCCCTCCCTCCCTCCCTCCCTCCCTCCCTTCCTTCCTTCCTTCCTTCTTTTCTTCTCTCTTTGATGAGTTTCCACCCATTGCTTCTTGTCCTGCCCTCAGGTGCTTTGGAGAATAGCTTGACTCCCTCTTCTTTGGGGCAGCCCCTGAGATATTAGAAGACTGCTATCATGTCTCCCCTAGTCCTTCTCTTCATCAAACTAGACATACCCAGTTCCTGCAATTCTTCTTCATACGTTTTAGCCTCCAGTCCCCTAATCCTCTTTGTTGCTCTTCTCTGCACTCTTTCTAGAGTCTCAACGTCTTTTTTACATTGTGGCGACCAAAACTGAATGCAGAATTCCAAGTGTGGCCTTACCAAGGCATTATAAAGTGGTATTAACACTTCACCTGATCTTGATTCTATTCCTCTGTTAATGCAGCCCAGAACTGTGTTGGCTTTTTTGGCAGCTGCTGCACACGGCTGGCTCATATCTAAGTGGTTGTCCACTAGGACTCCAAGATCCCTCTCACGGTTATTACTATTGAGCAAGGTACCACGTATACGATACCTGTGCATTTTGTTTTTCCTCCCTAAATGTAGAACCTTCCTTTTTTCACTGTTGAATTTCATTTTGTTAGATAGGGCCCAATGTTCAAATCTGTCAAGATCCTTCTGTATCTTGAGCCTATCTTCTGGAGTGTTGTCTATTCCTGCCAGCTTGGTGTCGTCTGCAAATTTGATGAGTTTCCCATCTATCCCCTCGTCCAAGTCATTGATGAAGATGTTGAAGAGCCCTGGGCCTAAAACAGAGCCTTGGGGTACTCCACTGCATACTTTCCTCCATGTAGATGCAGTTCCATTGAGGACTACACGTTGAGTGCAGTTAGCCAGCCAGTTACGAATCCATCTGGTGGTGATGCTGTCTAACCCACATTTTCCTACTTTATTTAGTAGTAGGTTATGGTCTACTTTATCAAATGCTTTACTAAGAGTCCCTTGGGATTTGGGCGGCATAGAAATGCGACAAAATAAAATAAAATAAATAAATAAATAAATAAATAATAAAGTTCAAGTAAATTATATCGATAGCATTCCTCTGGTCCACTAATTTTGTCACTTTGTCAAAGAATGCAATAAGATTAGTCTGGCATGATCTGTTTTTGACAAACCCATGTTGGCTTTTGGTTATTGCTTGGTTTGTTTCTAGGTGTTCGGTGATTCGTTGCTTGATTATCTTTTCCAGAATCTTCCCTGGTATTGAGGTCAGGCTGATAGGTCTGTAGTTTCCTGGATCTATTTTTTTTTCCTTTTTTGAAGATGGGAAAAAGAGGTTGAGACTCTAGAAAGAGTGCAGAGAAGAGCAACCAGGATGATGAGGGGACTGGAGGCTCAAACATACGATGAACGGTTGCAGGAACTGGGCCTGGCTGGTCTAGGGAAGAGAAGGACCAGGGGAGACAGGATAGCATCTTCCAATACTTGAGGGGCTGCCCCAGAGAGGAGGAAGGGGGCCAAGCTATTCTCCAAAGGCCAGACAAGGAATAATGGATGGAAACTGAACAAGGAGAGATTCAACTTAGAAATAAGGAGAAATTTTCTGACAGGGAAAACAATCCACCCAATAGAGCAGAAGTTGCCTTCAGAAGTTGTGGGAGCTTCATCACTGGAGGCTTTCAAGAAGAGACTGGACTGCCACCTGTCAGAAATGGTGTACGATCTCCTGCTTGGGCATGTGGGTTGGACTAGATGACCTCCAAAGTCCCTTCCAACTCTGTTATTCTGTTATTCTATTCATCTGCTAATTGCAGGATCCGGGAATCAAGTGAATTCTGCCTAGAAGTAAAGTGAGCACCGCCAGCTATATCTTCTTGGTCAAACTGACTCTAGCTTCTAATACTCTCGTTTCTGTCTGTCGTCAAATTCAACCAATTTTTCTCTCTCTCTCTCTCTTTCCTTCCAGCGCTCCGATGCCCTACCTCATAGGAATTCATTTGAGCCTGATAGAGGTGAGTCTCTTTGGTCTGTTCAGCCTGAAAATAGGGTTGAAGTGTGTCATAAACTTCCCCTCTCAATTTGTTCCTGGCAGAAAGTTTTTCGGTAACTGCCAGGCACCCCCAAAGCTAAAAAAAAGTTGTTGGTTTTTCCCTCTTAAGCTGTAAACCATTTCAGGCACTTTTTTTAAAAAATTTGATTTATATGCCGCCCTTCTCCGGAGACTCAGGGCGGCTTACAATGCGCTAAGCAATAGCCTTCATACTTTTGTCTATTTTATACAAAGTCAGCTTATTGCCCCCACAAACTGGGTCCTCAATTTACCTACCTTAGAAAGGATGGAAGGCTGAGTCGACCTTGAGCCTGGCGAGATTCGAACTTGCAGTAATTGCAGGCAGCTGGTGTTAAATTACAGTGCTTAGTCTGCAGAGCTATCCAGGCTCCTCATTTGAGGGGGGTGGGGAATATATGAGACTAGAAAGAATGCAGAGAAGAGCAACCAAGATGGTTAGGGGACTGGAGGATAAAATGTATGAAAAATGGTTGCTGGAACTGGATATGCCTAGTTTATTTATTTATTTATTTATTGGTTCAATTTATATGCCGCCCTTCTCCAGAGACTCAGGGTGGCTTCCAACGCATTAAGCAATAGCCTTCATACTTTTGTATATACCTGCTTAGTAGGGCTTTTGCCCCCCCCCCAAGCGGTGTTCTTTTTTATACAAAGTCATCTTATTGCCCCCACAATCCTGGTCCTCATTTTACCTACCTCGGAAGGATGGAAGGCTGAGTCAACCTTGAGCCTGGTGAGATTTGAACTTGCAGTAATTGCAGGCAGCTGGTGTTATTTAACAGCACTTAGTCTGCTGCGCCACCAAGGCTCTTCCTAGTTTAATGAAAAGAAGGACTAGATAGCAGAGGTGGGATTCAGCAGGTTCTGATCAGTTCTGGAGAATCGGTAGTGGAAATTTTGAGTAGTTCAGAGAACCGGTAGTAAAAAATGCCTCCGCCCCCATCTATTCTCTGCCTCCCAAGTCTCAGCTGATCGGGAGGAAATGGGGATTTTGCACTAACTCTCCCCTGGATTAGGAAGGGAATGGAGATTTTACAGTATCCTTCCCCTGCCACGCCCACCAAGCCATGCCACGCCCACCTAGCCACACCCACAGAACCAGTAGTAAAAAATGTTGAAACTCATCACTGCATGATAGCAGTCTTCCAGTATCTCAGGGGCTGCCCCAAGAAGAGGGAGTCAAGCTATTCTCCAAAGCCCCTGAGGGCAGGACAAGAAGCAATGGGTGGAAACTAATCAAGGAGAGAAGCAACTTAGAAGTAAGGAGGAATTTCCTGACAGTGAGAACAATTAACCAGTGGAACAACTTGCCACCAGAAGTTGTGAATGCTCCAACACTGGAAGTTTTTAAGAAGATGTTGGATAACCATTTGTCTGAAGTGATGTAGGGTTTCCTGCCTAAGCAGGGGGTTGGACTAGAAGATCTCCAAAGTCCCTTCCAACTCTGTTATCCTAAATAAAACAAGTTTGTCAGGATCTTTTTGGATCCTGAGCTTGTCTTCTGGGAGGTGTTGGCCATCCCTGCCAGTTAAGTATCATCTGCAAATTTGATGAGTTCCCCTTCTATTTCCTCATCCGAGTCATTAATGATAGCTGTCTTCCAGTATTTGAGGGGCTGCCAGAAAGAGGGGGGGGTGTCAACGTATTCTCCAAAGCGCCAAAAAGCAGGACAAGAAGCAACGGATGGAAACTAATCCAGGAGAGAATCAACCTAGAACTAAGGAGGAATTTCCTGACAGTTGGAACAATTGACCAGTGGAACAACTTGCCACCAGAAGTTGTGAATGCTCCAACACTGGAAGTTTTTAAGAAGATGTTGGACAGCCACTTGTCTGAAACGATATAGGGTTTCATGCTTGAGCAGGGGGTTGGACTAGAAGACCTCCAAGGTCCCTTCCATACTCTGTTATTCTGTTATACTCCAGGAAAATGTACGATGCAGATAGGCTGTATGTTCCTTGAGAGTTAAAATATCAAACCTATCCATAACTTGTTGGTATGACTGGAAAACTCTCCACTGAAATGAAGTTATTTGGGGGGGGCATGTGTTTGTTCAAAGACCTGTTTCTGTTTTAGCAACCCACCCCAGTTTCCCAAAAGTGGAATTTTTCCCCCCGATCCCTTTCTTCCCGAGTTCTCTGTCATCACCTAATCATTCATTCCGCTTACGATTTCTATTTAGCCATCTCTAAAGCAACTTCAAAGGAGGTGGAAAAGTTTGTCAGGCACCGCACACAAGACAGACAGGAGGGTTTTTTTTTTTTTTTTCCTGTCATATGAATAATGGAAGATTTTCTTCTTTTTTTTACGGCACTCGCCATTCAAATTCCGGAAAACAGAAGGATAAGCTCCGTTAAATTGCCAGCAGATAAGATCATCAGAGCATCTCGCCTCACCCTTCCTCCCTCTCACTTTGTGGGTTTTTTTTTTTTTTTCGTGGCTGGAGCCAAAATCGGTTTTTCCGTTCACACCGGGTCGCATTTGAAACTGTTCAGATCAGGTGTCCCCCAACCTTTCGGACCTCAGGGACCACTAAATTCATAATTTTAAATCCCGCGGACCACTAATACGATCTGCCTAAGGACCCGCGGGGTGGGCGTGGCTATGTGGTCATGTGACTGGGTAGGCGTGGCCAACTCGATGTCACTCACGTTGAGGGGCACCTCACCAGCCTCTATGCACCCCTCCCTTGCCAGCCACTCCTCCTCGCCTGCCCGCCTGGGCTCCTTAGGACCCCAACAGGAAGCAGTTGCTGGAGCTAAGCAGCCACCACGAGAAAGAGTTGGCAAAACAGGTCAGTTCAAATTGGATCTGGCCGAGAAGGAGGCTCAGCAGAAGCACCTCACTGAGGACTAGAGGCTTTCCAAGACCTGCGGGAGTGCAAGGCCAGGTACCAGCGCCTGGAGGCTCAGTGGGCTGAGATGGTCAGCCAGTTCCAGTCCATGATGCAGTCCCACTGGAACGAGGCCCTCCGGCTCTTCGCCACCAGCGGCTCTTCCCTCCAGCCTTCGCCCAAAGCCCCACACCAGGAGGCTGAAGCAGACCCCAAGTCGGAATTTCTGCCCCCTCCAACCCACACAAAAAGACCCCGAAGGGGGGAGACTCTCTGCAGCAACACAAACGTTCATTGCACGTATCCGTCCCAGGGGCCGTTGTTTGAGGACCCCTGATTTAGTGCAATATAAAAAAATGCAAATCATTTTTCTGCGGACCACCAAAATTTTATCATGGACCACCAGTGGTCCACGGACCTCCAGTTGGTGACCGCTGATTCAGATGGTTCTTTATGAGCTTTAAGAAGTAAAGGTTTTTGCACAGTTTCCTTGTTGATGGAAATCTTCTCGGCCCTGGACCTTGGAAGGTCTTTCAGTAGATTCTCTCTTCATTTCCCCTACCTGAGGACCTGTTGAAAGCCTGATGGAGGATTCACATCTAAGGGAGAGACCAACTGGTTGTGACATGAATCAGCAGGTTTGAGCTCCAAACCTTATTTTAGAGGATTTTTTTTCCTTGTTGTGACATTTCTGACTGACACTGCTTTAGAAGATGTTTGCAGCTGAGAGCATCCAGGAAGGATGTTCTGACAGGGCTAGACAAGTAGAATAGATTAGAGCTGGAAGGGATCTTGGAGGTCTTCTACTCCAGCCCCCTGATCAAGCAGGAGAACCTATACCATCGCAGACAAGTGACTGTCCAGTCTCTTCTTATTAACCTCCAGTGATGGAGCACCCACAATTTCTGGTGGCAAGCTGTTCCACTGGTTAATTGTCCTCACTGTTGGGAAGTTTCTCCTTCATTCCAGGTTGCTTCTCTCCTTGATGAGTTTCCATCCATTGCTTCTTGTCCTGCCTTCAGGTGCTTTGGAGAATAATTTGATTCCCTCTTCTTAGTGGCAGCCCCTCAAATACTGGAAGACTGCTATCATGCCACCCCTGTTACAAACACTTTTCAAACAAGGGTCTACGTGGATCAGCCATGCACCTCTTCTACATATGTTGAGAACGTGGTCTCCAAAATTAGCAGGAGATGCATTTTCTACGCACCTGGGCCACCATTTTGGAGAAGGCTACAAAGGAGCTAGGACCCTTGAGATTTGTTATTGTTAGTTGCGAAGTCATGTCCGATCCATCGTGACCCCATGGACAACGTTCCTCCAGGCCTTCCTGTCCTCTACCATCCTCCGGAGTCCATTTAAGCTCACGCCGACTGCTTCAGGGACTCCATCCAGCCGCCTCGTTCTCTGCCGTCCTCTTCTTCTTTTGCCCTCCATCATTCCCAGCATTAGGCTCTTCTCCAGGGAGTCCGTCCTTCCTTCTCATTAGGTGGCCAAAGGATCTGAGTTTCCTCTTCAGGATCTGGCCTTCTAAAGAGCACTCAGGGTTGATCTCCTCTAGGTTTGACCTTTGAGATTATCAGCCAGCATTTTCCAATTCAGAAACAATTTTCATGGACCAGAACTGAGCTCTAGAAAACTGCATCAGCAATTTCCCGTTTTCAAATATTTTGCCATCGCACGCACCTGATCTGTTGTGTGAAAAAAAATGGCTAAGATTTCATCTTCAACAGAAGCTGTTGATTTCTCCTTGGAGATCGATTGCTGCGATCTATAAAAGTCTATAGACCACACTGTAATTCTGGAGTTTCAAAAATGTCCTTCAGAGCTCATTCATGATTTTAGATCAGCTTAAAGGAAATGGGATGCGGTGGCTCAGTGGCTAAGATGCTGAGCTTGTCGACTGAAAAGTTGGCAGTTCAGCGGTTCAAATCCCTAGCGCCGCGTAACGGGGTGAGCTCCCCTGACTTTTCCCAGCTTCTGCCAACCTGTTCTGTCCCCGTACCCCACATGCACCACCACAGACGGCCCGGAGTTAATAAGCCACACGACAAAACTCTTTGAAGATAAAGCTGGCAGCAACCCAGTGGCTAGCTGCCAATTCAGACTTTACTCACACAAAACAAAGATTAGACTGCAAGCATTCCGATAAAACAGGCAGAGTTTCAACAATACAAGGATTAATCCAAATGCAGTCCGATAAAGCAGGCAAAGTCCAGTTCTGTGCACCTTTGGCGTTGAGTCATGCCGGCCACATTACCACGGAGACGTCTTCGGACAGCGCTGGCTCTTCGGCTTTGAAACGGAGATGAGCACCGCCCCCTAGAGTCAGGAACGACCAGCACATATGTGCGAGGGGAACCTTTGCCTTTTTAAAGGAAATGGGTCCCTGTGTTAGGCTACCAGTAAAATTTGGCGGCATCCTCTGAAGACCATGGTACCTTCTCAATGTCAACATTGGTTGGCTGGTGAGTGGGTGGAAGACAGAAGCCATCTGCTGCCTGTGAGTCAAAGGGTTCAGAGGTCAAAGGAGGTATGTTGCTTAACCATACCCGTCTGTGGAGTAGCCCCTTTCAGATTGTAAATCAAGAGGGTGATGTTAATTAAAAGCTTTCCTTTACCGGGATCGTAAAAGGAGATCTCCGGTCTCTTATCCCCTCCGTGAGCCACCAAATCGATTCATTATTATTGTTTGCAACTTTTCCTGTAGCTTCCAGGTTTCCACAGACTGCTCGGAGCATTGTGTCCAGATCATTGGGAGACCGATGCACTCCTTGTTAAGGATATTGGTGTTGTGTTACCAACCAGCAGAGTAAATGCACAAGGAAACATTGCTGAGAGCAATGAATAAGAGTTATGCAAACTGGTTTATCAAAAGCTTACTTTATAGTAGAAAAACAGTCTCATAGTCTTTAAACAAATTCCAAGTCTTTGCCAGTAAAATCAGTCCAGTAGTTACAGAATCTTCTTACCAAAACAAACATTAGTTGGTTAGAATAACAAACTCACTCTAGTTCACAAACCACAATGGTTGCAGATCCATCAAACGATGATTAGCAGATAACAACAACTCTCAATGGTAGCTTATCATAGCAGCTTCATCGTCAATGGCAGCATATCATAGCAGCAACTGAACACTTTACAATACCTTGCTTAAATACTCTCACAACCAGTCATTACCTAATTACAGCATGACTCAGCATTAAAGTCACATAATACATTTACAGATTAAAGTTACAGTACACATATATTGCCTGGACAACTTAGTTAGGCTCAAACCATATCCTAACACTCCTATAAAAAGGAGTTTTGTAAATCTTACCGAACTGCCCAACGATTTAAAGTGGGCTTTTGCTGCTTTTTCCTTCAAAGGGACTGGAAAGGGGCTGCAGAAATAGAAACAGTCGATCAACTCTAGTTGAGTTGATTAATTGATGGTGCCATTTTTAATTTTTTTTGTGGGGGGGCCAAGGGGACGAGTCCTCATTGATGTCCCTGGGAGTCAAAGACATGTTTTATCACTTTGTCAAAGAAGATACATCACCCGTGTCAATTGAAGGACCGTTATCTACTTTAAGAGAGACTAAGTGGACATTTATTTAAATCTAGCCGTGGAGTAAAGTCAGGCTGAAGTCCTGCTCTCAGGAAGCAATTCCTGAGCAAAGAGTGATGGGTTTATTTCAGATTCGCTGTTACCCTCCAAACTAGGGGTCCCCAACCTTTTGGACCCCAGGGACCACTAAATTCATAATAGACCTGTCAAGTTTCGAGGTCGTCTCAAATAAATTGCATTTCAAACAAAGTCTTTGAAGAAAAACTCCTATTTATTAAGCACGACATTCTAAACCCGACTCCAATCGAAGCCAACACTGACTTCCAGCCCCCAAACCCTCCCTTTCCGTTCCCCACTCCCCTCCACTCATTGGCCATCTTCCAAGTCATTCTACCCCTAATCTACTCCAGCTCAAAGGAATGTCCCCCCTCCCACTCCCATCTCCTAGGGGATATTATCTCCAGGGAAAATAAGTAGGTGAAAAGTCAAACGTCCCTTTCCAGACGCCTCCGCTTCTCCTTCTTATGTCAGCACTAGAGTAAATGCAGGTTGAAGTGCTGACATCACCACTAATATGAATTTTTTAAAAAGATAAATAGTATTTAGTGCAATGTAAAAAATGCAAATAATTTTTCTGCGGACCACCACAATTTTCTCATGGACCACCAGTTGGTGACCGCTGCTCCAAACGGCATCAAGTTTGACAACTGAAATGACAGGCTGGGACTTCTCCACCGGGGCGAATTTTTGGGAACAATTCAAGAGACAAGATTATGATTTTAGTTGTTCCAGTAGTGGCCAGAATTGTGAAAACCTTTTGGGAAAAGTATATTTTTGAGGTTTGATGGCTAATAACAGTCCTCGGAGTCCTCGGAGAGTAGGCGGTATAGAAATGTGAATAATAAAATAAAATAAATAAATAAATATTATATATAACTCTACATGGGGCTCCCCTTGGGGTGCACCCAGAGGCTCCAGTTGATCCAGAATGCGGCCGCACGGGGGATTATGGGAACGACGGGGCGCTTCCATGTGACACCTCTCTTGTGCGAGCTGCACTGGCTTCTTGTGGTCTTCCAGGTGCGCTTCAAGGTGTTGGTGACCACCTTTAAAGTGCTCCATGGCTTAGGGCCGGGGTATCTACGAGACCGCCTTCTGCCGCCAATAGCCTCCCACCGGCCAGTTCGCTCGCACAGAGAGGGCCTCCTCAGGGTGCCGTCCGCCAGACAGTGCCGGCTGGCGACCCCCAGGGGGAGGGCTTTCTCTGTGGCAACGCCCGCCCTCTGGAACGACCTACCCCCAGAGATACGCACGATACCAGACCTCCGGACTTTTCATCGGGCTCTGAAAACACATCTATTTCATCTAGCCGGGCTGGCTTGACACCATCCTTGCGGTTTTAATTTGTAATTGGTTTTAACTGGGTTATTTTAAATTGATGGCCAAAATTATTTAATGTCTTTTAAATTGTTTTTAAATTTTATATGTTGTGTTTTACCGTGGCTGTTCACCGCCCTGAGTCCTGTTGGAGAAGGGCGATATACAAATTAAATAAATAAATAAACAAACAAACAAACAAACAAACAAACAAAACTAAACTTTTAAAGTTTAGTTTTGGAGAACTTCTGGAGAACTGGTAGCAGAAATTTTGAGTAGTTCGGCGAACCGGCAGTAAAAATTCGGACTGGCCCCGCCCCCATCTATTCTGTGCCTCCCAAGTCCCAGCTGATTGGGAGGAAATGGGGATTTTGCAGTAACCTTCCCCTGCCACGCCCACCAAGCCATGCCACGCCCACCAGGCCACACCCACCGAACCGGTAATAAAAAAATTTGAAACCCACCCCTGACCCTAACCCTAATCCGACTAGGTGGCTCAGTGGCTAAAGATACTGAGCTTGTCGATCAGAAAGGTCGGCAGTTCAGCGGTTCGAATCCCTAGTATAGGTCCCCTGCGTGAGCAGCGGGTTGGACTAGATGACCTTCCAAGGTCCCTTCCAACTCTGCAACTGTTACTGTTATATGTGTATTTGGGGACGAGAAAATTGGAGACAACTGCATTTTGAAAAATGCACTGAACAAAGATGTATGGGAAATCTCTTTTGTGTTTTGGACCTGAATAATTACTTGCTTCTCCCCCGTTTCATTTTCAGAAAGTCAGAACTATTTCTCTGGATGATGTGGTCATCCTAAATGTGGACACCAACACACTGGAAACCCCTTTTGACGATCTACAAAGCCTCCCGAATGATGTAGTGAGTACACTTATCATTTCTCCCTGGGTTTTTTTTTTCTTGTAACGCTCATAGGATGTTGTGGCCCGTCAGCGGCCTGTGCGGATTGTAACTGATTCGGACAGCGAGGAGGCTGGTGTGGTGCTGCGCCACCAGCCTGTGCAGCTGGCGCTCGAGTCGGACAGTGAGGAGGCCGGAGAAGATGTGGTGCCAGAGGCGGGGATTCAGCCAGGGCCTTCAGAACCTCCAGAAGCTCCCATAAGTGAAGAGGACGAAGAGGAGGAGCCTCTTCTCGATGCACGGGCGCACAGAGCTGCCCAAAGGCAGGAGTGACTCCTCAGGAGGAAATCTCCTCGAGAGTAAGGCTTGGGGCTAATTGGCCACTCCCTTAGCCTATTTAAGGAGGAAGGCCGACTGAAGCAATTTGCAGGGAACAACTTCGTTCACATACCTTCGTGTCTGCAAAACTGCTTCTGGGCTTTCTGTCAACTCTAGTAAGATTGTGATTTACCTTATCTTAGAATTTTGGGAGGCTGTTAAGACAATTCCTTAACAGCCTTTGAATGATAAAGACTCAGTTACTTTGAGTAAATAAGCTTTGTATAGAGTTTGTGTGTGCTACGTTCTTTGGGCTCCGTAGCTGGGGCAGAACATAGGATCTTCTACTCTGGTTCTCCTAAGCGGAGGTCCACTGAATAAATTTTTGCAGTCAACTCATGGAAATGTTGAATAAAATCCTTAATCCTTACCACGTGCAGGATGGTGAGGTTCACACCATCCATTGGTTTGGTAAAAGTGGTTTGCCAGGATTGGATGATGGAAGGACTCACCCTTCAACCTTGGATGGTCACCACCATTGGAGAGATACCTCTGGGTCAGCCGATAGTCCTTAAAATCATCAGACAAGAGATGGGTGGGAGGAGGAGGACTTGCCACTTGCTACCAAAAATTAAAACCAGCAAATACTCCAGTTGTTGTTGTTGTTAGTTGGGAAGTCATGTCCGACCCATCTCAACCCCATGGACAATGTTCCTCCAGGACTTCCTGTCCTCTGCCATCCTCCGGAGTCCATTTAAGCTCACGCCGACTGCTTCAGTGACTCCATCCAGCCATCTCCTTCTCTGCCGTCCCCTTCTTCTTTTGTCCTCCATCGTTCCCAGCATTAGGCTCTTCTCCAGGGAGTCCTTCCTTCTCATCAGGTGGCCAAAACATTTGAGTTTCCTCTTCAGGATCTGGCCTTCTAAAGAGCAGTCAGGGTTGATCTCCTCTAGGACTGACCGGTTGAATGGCCTTGCAGTCCAAGGGACTCGCAGGAGTCTCCTCCAGCACCAGAGTTCAAAGGTCTTGATTCTTTGACGCTCAGCCTTCCTTATGGTCCAACTTTCCCAGCCATCCATTGCAACTGGGAAAACCATCGCCTTGACTATACGCACTTTTGTTGGCAGGGTGATGTCTCTGCTTTTTAGTAAGGTCAGTAAAATAGAACCAACCAGCAGGTTTAAAAGCAAAAAAACAAGACCAATCCAGAGTCTTTTTTTAAAAAAAAGTTTTACTATATTTTTATTTTTAAATATATATCAATATCAATACATGAAGAGTGTGACCTCTGGGTATAATTCATTTTGATACAAGTCACAATAATAGTATTAATAATATTGGTTATATTAATCAAACTTATATAATCCTTGTATTAATATATATGTTTGTTTTAAAGTAGCTATTCAATATTTCAATGTTCCATTTTAATGCCGATGGTAATTATTATTTAAGCATACCATCATTTAACCTCTAATCTTTTCATCTAATTATTGCTTATATTCTATTATATAAAAAGTATACATGCTAATATTCCCCCTATTTCTTATTTCTAACTCTATTCTAGCTTCTAGTCAGGTCACCATGACTTCTCCTAGTGTTAATACAGAGTCTTCAGCAATCATAGAGCAAACTCGAAGCGGTTATTTTGTTCTAGTTAAATATGTTAAATTTTAGTTAAATTTTAATGTTCAGTTGACTGAGTTTCATGTTTAATGAATAAAGTAAATAATAATAATAATAATAATAATAATAATAATAATAATAATAATAATAATAATAATAATAATAATAATAATGCCTTGGTAGTACAGAGGTTTAAGGCACCCTGTTATTAAGCTGGTTATTAAGACCAGCTGCCTGCAATTACTGCAGGGTTCGAATCTCGCCAAGGCTCAAGGTTGACTCAGCCTTCCATCCTTTCTAAGGTAGGTAAAATGAGGACCCAGTTTGTGGGGGCAATAAGCTGACTTTGTATAAATATACAAAAGGATGAAGGCTATTGCTTAACACATTGTAAGCCGCACTAAGTCTTCGGAGAAGGGCGGCATATAAATCAAATTTAATAATAATAATAATAATAATAACAACAACAACAACAACAACAACAACAACAACAACAACTCAATGACCGTGTTGCTAAGATCATTCCCTGGAAATTGTGCCAGAAGTTTGGATTTGAGTACAGCAAAAACCACTGGGAACATCAGGTTGAGAAAGTTTTAGAGAATGAGAAACTCAAGATCTTGTGGGACTTTAGGATTCAGACTGACAGGCACTTGGTCCACAACACACCTGACATAACAATAGTTGAAAAGAATAAAGTATGGTTCATTGACATTGCAATACCTGGTGATGCATGGATTGAAGATAAGCAGCAAGGAAAAATCACAAAGTACCGGGACTTGCAAATTGAAGTTGAGCGACTGTGGAAAAAGAAATCGTGTGTTGTCCCGATTGTAATTGGAGCCCTTGGAGCAATACCCAAAGGGCTACCCCGCTATTTAGAAATTCTAAATTTGCCGGACTTGAACATTTTGACTCTCCAAAAAACCACCTTACTCGGAACAGCTTACATCCTCCGACGATACCTTAACAGTTCCTAGGTCCTTGGTTAGGACTCGAGCTGCTGAGCTATTAACCAGCCTCAAAGGCTGTGAATCTCACCAACGATTAAATAATAATAATAATAATAATAATAATAATAATAATAATAATAATATATTATAATTATTATAATATATATTATTATCAAAATAATAATAATAATAATAATAATAATAATAATATATTATAATTATTATAATAATATACATAATACATACCAGCGGAACTGCAAAAAACTGCGCCACTTGGAACATCATACATCTTAAGAAGGTCCTTGGTTAAGAAGCTGGCAGCAACCCGTATCAACCATTAGCACCAGTCAATGGTATTTGTGACGCATTTTTGAATGTTCAGTTGACTGAGTTTCATGTTTAATGAATAAAGTAAATCATCATCATCATCATCAAAGAAATTTGCTTTCTCTCATCCCTGGTGGTTTTTTAAATTGGTTAACCGGGCACCTGAGCACGAAGTTTGTGGGGTTTTTTTTGTTTTTTAAATTCGGGCAGTGTTCGACTCCCTTTTTAAAAGCCGCTTGCCTTGAAGGAGGCTTCTGGCCCCCCCTTCTTCTTTTGATACCGTGTTTTTGCAAGTTGGGTGTTTTTTTTCCCCTTTGCTTTTATTCATGTTGACAACTCAAAAGCCATGGATCTAATTAAAAGAAATTCCTCTCGCACCTTCGCTGAACCATTTCATTATCCCGGCGCTGCACAGATTGCATTTCGAAACATGGTGATAGCTTAAAACTGACCTTTCCTTCCCGAACTGCCAAGAGTATAGAAATGTGCTTTAGACACACACAACTGGGATTCGGTTGTGTGTCTCTGGCGAACGGCTCTGGGAAGAAGCTGCTCCTTCCTGGAGAAACTATGGTCCACGTTGAGGGGCAGGGTGGCCGTAGGGACCCCCGCCGTCTTGCAAGGGGAGCCGCTGAAGATGTGGACTTATGGACAACTTTCCCAAGAGTATAGAATGTCCTGTTCTCAGGATGGAAGAATTTCAGACCAGATGTTGATTTCAGGATTTGAGTTCCACAGATCAGTGGTGGGTTCCTCCCGGTTCGGCCAAGCCGGTAGCGGTGACAATATGACGTTACCGAACTGGTTCTCTTTGTTCGGGAGCTGGGCCCTCCCTCCCACTCCCCCCGCATTATTCTTACCTTTTATTTGGCCCTGCCCCCAATCTATTCACTGCCTCTGAGTCCCAGCTGATCGATTGGAAGGAAAAAAAACTGTTTAAACTCTTGCCGCAGGGCTTCAAAGGGCCGCCCTACAGCTGATCAGTGTTAAAAGGCAGTGTGGTGGTAGACCGGTGCCTCCAAAAACAAATGAGTAGACCGGGATGCTCCAAGAACAAATGGGTAGACCAGTACAGCTCTGCAAGCAGTTAAAAGCCTGGTAGACCAGTACCTCTGCTAAATCCTAACGAATTGTCACATGACCATCAAACCACGCCCACAAAATAAGCCACGCCCACAGAACCGGTAGTAAAAAAAATTAGAACCCACCCCTTCCACAGATGTAAAGAAACCTTGAAGAAGAAATCGTTCGTGTCTGTTGCAAATAGCGTCCAAGGAACCAGCATCCACCCATGTTTATTTTCTTCTTATCTTGGCCTGGGAGGGGTGGAGCTTTCAAAAGTGACCCCCGTTGTGTCCTGCAATAGGACAGGGAGGAAATTAGCAACAGGGTGCTTTGCTGAAGGTACAACCGTTTGTAAGAACCATTCAACATATGCAAGAATAGATCTACGGAGTTAAAAGTCTCAGATTTCTGGAGAAATCCTTATACAGATACAGATGACAGATTTAATAGAGTTGGAAGGGACTTTATAGGTCATCTAGTCCAACCCCCCGCTCAACATTTCTGACAAATGGCTGTCCGGTCCCTTCTTGAAAGTTTCCAGTGATGAAGCTCCCACAACTTCCAAAGGCAATTTCTGTTCCATCGGTTGATTGTTCTCACTGTCAGAAAATTTCTAGGGTGAATCTCTCCTTGGTCGGTTTCCATCCATTATTCCTTGTCTGGCCTTCAGGTGCTTTGGAGAATAGCTTGACCCCCTTCCTCCTCTCTGTGGCAACCCCTCAAATATTGGAAGAC